TACAGTATAGTTAAATAATACATTAAACTGCATCATACTGCTGTCTCCATCTTCTAGGACTCCTCAGTTATACTGACAATCTAAATTACACTGAAATGGATGTACCATTCCTGTCAGCAAGGAAAAAATACTGATGTTTAAACAGGCCAAGAATGGCCCTAGGCTTTATGCTTCTTAAGAAGAATTATTTACAGGAAGCTTTGCCATCTGTGAAAGCAAACCAAATGATGCCACATTTCCACATACAGACGCTGGTATACTTGTACCAGATGAACTTACAACATGATTTTCCTTAAGGAAGATCATGCTGTACAGAGTTCAGTGGTCAATCAGCCCTAACCATTATGTAGTCTGAAGATGTAAATATTCATAGCTGCACCTATGCTTCCCACTGAGTTCTAAGGAACAAATAAATAGTATTTACAAGATAATTACATTGACTATGTTTGGATGAAGTAATACATTATAAACACATATGTTGAAACAGCTGACTTGTCCTGAGACCATTACATGTTAATGTTGAACCCTCTGTATAGATTCTGTACCCTATAAACTTGCTGACCAGGTTGGCTAAATACACCAGATTTCTAATGCTTATAATTTTGCATTTACAATTAAGCCTTTATTTCAGAACGATTTTGAAATATGTTCTGGCATCTTTCAGTGCAAGTTTTTTTTTCTCTTAGAAGATATTCTGAACATGTATAATTACAACACATTTTAGACCATACTGCACAAAAATTGCACAGGAAACAGATTTTATCTCTCAGCAACTAATTAAAACTTCAGATTGAAATGAAATACTGAAACATTTAGGAGTTCTTCTGTGTGTGCACATTGCTCTTCATCTGAGACTAATTTTTGAACATCAGTGATTAATTTCTGGATCTAGGATTTTGGCATGTGATCTGTAAATGAAACAGGTTTGGTATAATTGATATCCTTATCTGCTGAAATGGCTAAATTTGTTGTTGAAAAGAAGTGATTGATTGGAAATTTGGGATGTAATTTTCATCTGTAAAGTTTTATTATCAAATCTAATATATCTTCTTAACATGTAAACCCACCTGATAGCTGATATCAAAGTGTTTTTCAATAACCCCATCCTGACTTGAAGTCAAAACTGGTATGTTGCCCCCTTGGTTTATTACATAATAAAAATGGTGTACTTGTAGTGCAATCAGCACATTGAAGGGCTTATACTGTATATGTTATTCCTGTGTATAAAATATCTGGTCACTCCCCTCTGTGTTATTCCTGTGTATAAATATCTGGTGACTCTCCTTGTGTTATTCCTGTGTATAAATATCTTGTCACTCCCCTCTGTGTTGTTCCTGTGTATAAATATCTGATGACTCCCCTCTGTGTTATTCCTGTGTATAAATATCTGGTCACTCTCCTCTGTGTTATTCCTCTGTGTTATTCCTGTGTATAAATATCTTGTCACTCCCCTCTGTGTTATTCCTGTGTATAAATATCTGGTGACTCCCCTCTGTGTTATTCCTGTGTATAAAATATCTGGTCACTCCCCTCTGTGTTATTCCTGTGTATAAATATCTGGTCACTTTCCTCTGTGTTATTCCTGTGTATAAAACATCTGGTCACTCCCCTCTGTGTTATTCCTGTGTACAAATATCTGGTCACTCTCCTCTGTGTTATTCCTATGTATAAATATCTGGTCACTCTCCTCTGTGTTATTCCTGTGTATAAATATCTGGTCACTCTCCTCTGTGTTATTCCTGTGTATAAATATCTTGTCACTCCCCTCTGTGTTGTTCCTGTGTATAAATATCCGATGACTCCCCTCTGTGTTATTCCTGTGTATAAATATCTGGTCACTCTCCTCTGTGTTATTCCTATGTATAAATATCTGGTCACTCTCCTCTGTGTTATTCCTGTGTATAAATATCTTGTCACTCCCCTCTGTGTTGTTCCTGTGTATAAATATCTGATGACTCCCCTCTGTGTTATTCCTGTGTATAAAATATCTGGTCACTCTCCTCTGTGTTATTCCTCTGTGTTATTCCTGTGTATAAATATCTTGTCACTCCCCTCTGTGTTATTCCTGTGTATAAATATCTGGTCACTCCCCTCTGTGTTATTCCTGTGTATAAGATATCTGGTCACTCCCCTCTGTGTTATTCCTGTGTATAAATATCTGGTGACTCCCCTCTGTGTTATTCCTGTGTATAAAATATCTGGTCACTCCCCTCTGTGCTATTCCTGTGTATAAATATCTGGTCACTTCCCTCTGTGTTATTCCTGTGTATAAAATATCTGGTCACTCCCCTCTGTGTTATTCCTGTGTATAAATATCTGATCACTCCCCTCTGTGTTATTCTTGTATATAAAATATCTGGTGACTCCCCTCTGTGTTATTCCTGTGTATAAATATCTGGTCACTCTCTTCTGTGTTATTCCTGTGTATAAAATATCTGGTCACTCCCCTCTGTGTTATTCATGTGATGGAAATCACTTTAGTTAGCTCTATCTTACCAGTATTCATTTCTTAAATTACTTAATTTCTCAGTTAAAGTGTGTCTGGAATCTGAAGTGTAAAGTGTAGGGTGTGTATATGTGATAACATATATTGTTTGTCGTACACAGAAATGTTTGAGAAGTTTCTAGGGGTAGATAGATCCAGCTGCAGCTGCTGTGCAGTAAATTTGGATGAAGAAAAATGTAGGACGGGATTTTTGTGTAATTGTGGACATAACTTCATTGTAAGTAGACCTATTTCAGGAGTCTATATAGACAGGTGTCATGATAAAACAGGTTGGAGGGAAAACAACTACATTTAATATGTTTTATAAGCTTGATAGCAAAACACCTTAATTTCAAACCTAAGTTTAATATTCTTCATTAGCAAAACTGAAAAGAATATCCATCTTCTTTGATCATAAGTAACTACTTACTGACAAAAAAATGACAATTTTGTATTGTTGTGGTTTTGATATATATTGATTTTGAATGTTTGATTTAGAAAGTTAATGAAGCATGCTAACTATAGTTTTGTGTAATATTAGACATTGTGATGATAAAGTGACTTTATAATCACTATGTGTAGCAGTGTTATCTGGTTCTGATGGGACCTGCAGACCTTGGCTGTCTACTACAACATCATTTCTGATGACTGATACTGAAAATGAACACTAATGGGCTATCCATTTCCATACCTGTGCATATGTACATGTGCATTTAAGATCCACTATGAAGTTTGGTGTATGGAAGGTTTTAAACTTTTAAAAATGTGCTGTCATGGCATAGATTTCTGTCAAAGATTTTTCTTTTCAAAACTGAAGCATCCTAACTTGAATTAGGTTATTTCTACTTGTACCTGTTATAGGGCTAATGCTTTGTGATGTCCAACTGTACAGTGTATATGATACAATTATTAACTTGTCTTCATTCACCTGAAAACAGGTCAATAATTATTTTACTATACGACGACTATCTACGCTTCTGATTGGTCAAAAATAATGGTGTAATGCATAAAATGTACCTGCATAAACAGTAGCCAGATATGTTTTAGTAGGGGGTACTTTTTATGCATGACACCGGATTGCTATATTCACCTGAGAGACACCCAATGGACAACTTGCTTGTTGCAGTGTAATACCACAAAATATCAAACAATACCTGGTACATATCTTGACCAGTGACACTTATATGATAAAATGTTATATACAAAAACAAAAGTTCTCTTTTGATAAAAACTTTAATTTGATACTGAAGTTGTTTCTGATTAGGCCTTAAACAATGTATACCTGGTGTAGCATGGTATTGTGGAGCATGGGGAAATGAACCGGGGTTAAAATACGAACCAATATGGTGAAGTGAACCAATATGGTGAAGTGAACCCCCGCATGGTGAAGTAAAGCCATTTCATATTTTATTTTCAATCGGTATTTCTTCACTTAATTTCTTATCACATTGTTTAATTAGGTTCCTCAAAACAAGATAAAACTAAAATATAACAAGGGTAGGGAAATTAAGGGTGGGGCTGGGCCATGGTAAAGTAAAGCATTACATCATTTTCTTACTAATTAACTTTTCTCAATCAATTTTTCTTCTTATCATACTTATTAATTCAAATAAACACACAAATAGCAAAAAATGTGTCTAGGGTGAGGAAATTTAGGGTGGGGCATGAGCAGGGGGTTCACTTCATCATGGCCGTGGTTAAGTGAAGCATAACAGTATTTACTTACTAATTAACTTTTTTTCACCAATTTTCTTGCTATTCACATTGATTCAATCAAATCAACACATGGCCATGGTGAAGTAAACACACGCATCCCCCACCTCCCCCCTTCCCCCCACCCAACCTAAATTTCCCCACCCTGTTTTATTTTGATTTTATTATGTATTGAGGAACATAATTAAGTAAACTGGTAAAAAATTCAGTGAAGAAACAGCAGTTTAGAACAAAATATTAAGTGGCTACACTTTACCATTGAGGGATTCTTTTCACCATAATGGTGAAATGAACCACGGTTCACTTTACCATGGGCTTCACTTTATCATACTACACCTGATTACCAAAAAACATCATAAAAAGCTAGAGCCGAAATTTCTCATTAAGATGCTCATGTTTGAAAGCATGTATATTAATGAGCCATTTCCTCTCTACCTTTTTTCACCAAACAAGATCAGAACTTTCTTCCTCTTTGGATATTGTTTTTTGCTTGATGTTTTCTGCAAAGTTGTTTTTGGTCTGAAGGCCTGTAAAAATTAAAAATCTTTATTTCTGTTACCTGTTAAGACTTAAGAATATCCCGTTTTTAAAACCTAGTTTGATGATAAGCATGTCTATTACCAACTCTAGGTGTTTTCTTTCCTTTAAAATCAGTTACTTTTATAAAATGAAATCTTGACACTTATTTTCACAGTATGGTTTTTAATGATTGCGAGTCTGCGATTTTGATAGTGATGCACTGAAAATTTGATTGGAAAGGTCACATCTGGCTGAAAAAGAAGGGATAATTTGAGAGAAGATGGAAGAGGGGAACTATTTTATTCTGTTGATGATGGAACTCTGAAGAAAAACGTCATCGACAAAGGATATGAGTTAAGATATATATACCAGAAAAGATGGAAATAAAGATATGGGACTGACCAACACTATCAGGTATTGACCTCGGACTGGGGAAAGGAGGCGGTTATCATTGTATGGATAGAAAAACAGGAAGTAACTTGAGAGAGGTGGAACCACAGTTCTATAAGAGAGAGGAAAAGGATATCAATAGGTAGGAAATGTTGATTGACTAGGTAGAGTAAAAGTAGGTTTTGTAGTGTTGTTAGTGACAGACTGAAGGGACCTACAGATTGTTACACTATTTCAGAGCATTGTGCTATACTGTATACGAATGGTACTGATTGCAAGGTTTATGTTTAAATATACTAAAAGATGAACGAAATTGTGTATACCAAAAACTTTCAGAATATTTTTCTTACTGATAATTTGGAAAATCATATTTTGAATTATAAAAATCTTAAATTGACTGGTAAAAACTTCAAGTTTAAAACCTAGGCAATGCCAAATAAGAGAGCAATCAAAAGATCTTGCATTTGTGGGCACTCTATCAGATTTTTATTTTTTTTTCAGGAGGGGAAATACCATAATGGATGAAGAAACATCAATAAAATACCAACATGGCAATCATAATCCAAACTCTAATTCCATAAAACGAAGGCGAAATATGAACAAAAGAATGATTTACACAGAGACGCCTGTAAAAGGTGCAAGAATAAGACAAGGTGTTCTGGAAGAGTATGAACATTTTTGTGCTTCTGGCAGCTGGAGATTGTAATATCTCAGAATAATGTGGCAAGACAGTTCGAGGTGGATGTAAATGATTTGTGGAGGTGTTTCCAACAGAGGAACACGTCACGGGAACAGGGTCAACCAGGACATCTGCATGTGATGTCACATCAGCAAGGCATGCAAATATGGACATAATGTTTGCATAATCAGTTACAGTCATTTTCATCAACTGTGAGAAGAATTCTAGGACTTAACAGCGAGAACAGTCATCAATTCAGCAGAGAAATCGTTGTGGTCTGGGATGGCATTGCAACACATGAAAGGACCTCCTCTGTTATAGAGAAAAGAAATCAATGTACACTACCATGAATGTATGCCATCATTTTCTTGCATTAAACCTTGGTAGACAGCAAAACATTATTTAAGTTGGTGTAGCAGTAACACACTTGCTTTTCACCTAGCTGTCCCGGGTTGGATTCCTGGAACGGACATGGAAAGGTAGGTGTTCACTTGCCCAACCATATGGGTATTCCTCAGGTCCTCCGGATTCATCCCACATCTGCATCCACATTTGCATCAGGGCCAACAAGAGTGATTAGTATGAATTTCTATAACTTGTTTTGCAAATGTTGTAAAATAAATAAAGTTTATATTTCAAACATTATTTTGCAGCAGGACAACTTACGACATCACACTTCATGTGTTGTTGGCACACATTTAGAGCAGCAAAACTTTGTCATACTAGGATAACATGCTGTGTTACCAGATTTGTCTCCTATCAAACATGTTTGGGATGCAGTGGAGTAACGTGTGCCAAGAGCCAAATTTTCCTGCAATGTTGGACACATTAGGTTGTCGGACAGAACATTCCTGATTGACCATGAGTTGGATTGACTGTATTATTATGAAGATGATGTATTGTAGAGAAACAAAATGTAACATATGGTTTTACATATGGATTTTACAATAAAACAATTGATATACACACTTTCTTTTTTCATTATTACATGTAGTGTAGAATGAGTTAATGAGTGGATGTTTGGGGATTTATATCACATGATCACAATATAGTCACTATTAGCCACAAATTAGCATGCCATTGATATTAAGATTTCAACCCATGTTGATTGTAGAGAGTACAAACCAAATGAAGGATATTTGATCACCCACTGCTTAGATGTTTTCTGTACAGGGTACACAACTCTGTGATGGAGCTGAGATTGATCAGCTCCCTAATCAAGGCTCTTTGTTAACATTGGAAAACTTTGTCAATCAGGGGATATTTGAAGTTATAAGCATTTTATGCAGCAATAAGTTCCTGCATTTTTAAACAAATGTGAGAAAAAATTATTGGGTTTCAGAATGATGAGTAGAAAGTTCTATAAATGTTTGAAAATTTTACTTCAAAATGATGATGATGGAGAAAATATTCCATAGATTGTAAAAATGATGTTTAAGAGCATCAAAGCCACTATGGCTTTTGTGCACTAGATTTGTTTTTCATGTGTTTATTGATTCTTAGATTTAGTGAACTTTTTGTGAGGGTTTGATGTCAAAATACAACCACAGTCATTCAGATATGTCTGTTGTCTAAACAAAATGTATTCAATTTGATGTATTTACTATGTGATTGTCTTAGGCCAACAGCTAGAAAACATGAACCTGTCCAAATTTTCCGAGAAAGCTGCTGCTAACCTATAATTAAGTGTTAATATCTTTCACAGATAAAAGAACATGTTTTTATGATATTTTTATGTTTGTTTCATTTTCGTTGAAGATTGGGTGGTTGGGGGAGGGCATTTAACCATTTAAAAATGGTTAAGTTAGGTAATTTCATGGTTTCCATCAAATAACGACATATACAGACTTTTGGTGTATGTCAGTGAGATCTCAGATGAGTTTGATATTGGTCAAAAAATCTGCCAACATTTGCTCAAGTTATAGCTTCTGTTAAATAGTTTTTAATCTTTATTGTCAGATTTGAACAAAATTTGGTATGTTGTGTTATATTATTGAGATCTCAGATGAGTTTACTTTTGGTCAGAAATTGCCAGAATGATGGGACCTGTACATTACTAAAATATATAATTTCTTAGTTTTCATCAAATTATTCATTCTTAACTCTCTGATTAAAACCATATATCTGTCATGTTTCTTATAGATGTAACTAAGATCTTAGCCTGAAACCATTGATATTTGAGTTATGGGACTGTGGAAAATTAAGTAGATAACATCTTGGTTTCTGTCAAATTACTTAAATTTTTACCATCATATTTGCAAAAAAAAAAAAAAAAAAATTCATCAATTAGGATTTAACACAATTGATGACCTTCACCTTTGAATGAGATCTTGGTCATATTGCAAAAACCCCTTTCAATTGTATGGTAGCTGAATTTTCATGTTTGGCTTCCTGTCAGGAAGGAGGCCATAATGATTCCTTGACAAACTGTATATTGGATTTTATTTTCTTGTTTTTTTTTGTATAATATAGACTAGACAGAGAGTAATAGCATGTAAGTGTATATATTTTCCGAACAAGAATCAAAGACACTGCATATTCATGACATTCACACTCTAGTTCACAAACTTCCAGAGGCTAACTTTGAAATATTGGAATAATTAATGAGACACTTTAGAAAATAAGTGTTGTAACAACAAGTACATTTTGTTTTTCACGAAATAGATAAATACAACCAGGGCTCATTCAGGTGTAGAGTGACTTAGGAGCTGATAGGAAGCTTTACAGGTACATTAACATCAATTAACACTTAAGTTTTCCGTTAGGTTTTTTCCAAAAATTTTGGCTTTCAAAACAAAGCAGCAAAAAAAAGGAAGGTTGTTGTTGTTGTATTTTTGATTATCGGGTAACCAGATTGCCTAACTTAAACTCAAAAGAAACATAAACTTGCAAGAAATCTCAAGTCGAGAGAAACATAATTTTGAGAGAAACTTGAACTTGAGAGAAACTTTAACATGGAGAAACCAAAATTGAGAGAAACTTAAACTCAAGAGAAACCTTAACTCAAGATCTTCATGGTTTTCTTAGCCTGGTTAGCTTAGAAAAACGTAAAGAAAAAAAAAAATGAAAAAATATAATTTTTCTGATTTTCTTACAAATGAATAAACATTCAACTGAGCAAGATGTGTGTGTCAGATTGCACTTCAAAGGAAATATGAAAATATTGAATATTTAAAAGACCTATGAATAAACATCTGCAGCAATAGTCCAGAAAAAAGATGCAGAAAACATGACCCAAGTACTGTATTTTATTGTCAGAATTGATTTTGCGAAGAAGTCACAGGAAATTCAATTTCTAATCAATATACAAATATCACAATTAAGATTTGGCAGATAACAAAGACAGATTTATGTGATGATGGGACTGTGCTTTCCAGCACTTTTATGGACAGTAGCAGATGGAAAGAAATTAACTCAAAAAGCTAGAGTTGTTTTTTATTTGTTTAGAGGAGATTTTTTGGGGAGGGGGTGTTACACAAAATGCAGCAATGATGTAAACTGTAAAGAAACGTTTATTTCACGAAAGAGAGGCATTTCATGTGATACCTCAGTTGAAATATTGGTTTGCGGGTACCTGATTCTCAACAGTGCGTTCCATAAAAATCCACCATTTTCATTGTTATCACAAGCTTAAGAAAAAGACATCAACTTCACGAATAAGATATAAAAGATATTTATTTCACATTCTGAAATAAACACACTGGGTTTTTTCTACAATGGCTGCAATGCTACAATGCTGGTTTACCAAAAACATGGCTATGTATAATGATGTACTCTATCTAATCTTTTAATTCATCACAAATGTCTTTATTAGACAGGCTGTGTATGTGATATCATAAAACTTTATCCAGGATCATTTAATCCAAGATAAAGCAATAATGAGATTGAAAATTCTGAGACAACAAGCTTTTGAATTTTCAGATATAATTAAAGAAAGGAAATATGTTAACAGTGTTATGCTCTTCGTTATATAACAAGATTGAAGACTTTTTTAATAGTGAAATAAAAAGATATTGTTATTTAACATAGTTCCCTGTTTTCAATCAACCTAACCAAACATTTATTGATATCTGCTCCTGCCTTTACCAGTACTTTTGGAATTAAGTGTAATTGAGAAATATCTTTGAATATTTGTTGATAAATATAAACACATTTATGCCTTCCTATGTGAATGAAACCGGTGTGAAATAAAGATTTTCATCTTTTTTTTATGAATGGAACAGTCAAAATTTGAAGATATTACTTAAAAACAATTTTCGTGTGATTTATGGCGAGTTTATCTGACACCAAGGGTGTCTTATCCTATAAGATTTTCTTGGTTTCGTGATCGTGAGAGATAAGGGAACTGTATGTATATCTAGGCTACTTATAGATACACTCAAGACACCTAAACCCTGTCTTTACCCTGCCCTTAGCTCAGATGAATATAGGAGATTAAAAAGTGATATCGATGCAGCACATCAACAGTGCTGATTTGACAAGGAGAAAAAACAAGGCACACAGACTAAATTTTTTCTCTAGGTGCTCTGTGATCTGAATGATTTACAAAAAAAATATCTATTGTTTAGCAAAGTTACAGAAACATATTTGACAATCATTATATTTTATATTTTGTTTTTATGCAAGCTGGGAATGTTAACAGATACCATTTTTTAGAATAGTGTTACTTGTAACACAATTATAGAGATGATATTATTGGTTAAAACAGATTAGTGTCAATGTGACAATGCTATCAATCTATCATCATCTTTTCTTAAATTTGAATTGTTTTTTTGTATTTTATATCAAGTATAAATACCATGAGAGGTTATTATGCTCCCCAAAGGGAAAAAATAAAGTCACCGCTTTGTCCTTACGTCAGTTTGTTTGACTGTTTGTCTCTCCGTTCGTCTGTCATAATTTTGTCTGGAACATATCACATAAACAATAAGAGGTATCAACATGAAACTTCACAGATAGATAGATCTCGATAATGAGAAGTGCAGTGTACAAGAACCATAACTCTCTTTTGCATAATTTAGGAGTTATTGAAACTTGGTGTATACATTGGTCATACTAAGAGAATGTGCAGAATACTATATTCAGGGCCTGCAACTTCTTAATTACAGAATTATTGCCCTTTGACAAAATAAAGTCATTTTTGGGGAGCATTTATCAATATCACAGATAATCTTGTTGTATTTGACTGCCGACTCAACCTCATGTTGTTACATCCCAAACTTTATAGGTAAACTAACGTAACTTACTAAGTTGGTTGTTATTTTGTGATACCAACTGCTGCTAATAGTCTATTAACTTTCAGCACCTGTATTACAATTGTATTTTATGCTGGTGTTCATTGATATATATTAAATGTGAGATATTACAAAAAATATGCAAATACAATGTATTGTTGTAAAAAATGAATTGATCTGTCTATCATACATTCCTAACATACAAAAATTCTGTTTATAAGAAGGATTGCCACAAACAAAGACATTTCCATCTTCAGAAGCTGCCAAAATCTGGAGTTTAACAGCAGAAATTTGGTTGGTTGTTTTTTATCTTAATGTTTTTCTATAAAAACCTTTCCATTCTCCTGAGGGTCAGTTAGTACATTTCCACAACAGTATTTGCATGTCTGTCTAATCTAGTGCCAGCATTTTGTCATTTTTTACAGATCTGACGATTGATTAAACAAAAGTGAATAAATATTGAGATAAAAAGTGGATGTGTTATCGTTGAATGTAACAACCAATTACTGTAGTAAGTTTGGAAACAGAACTGGCCAAGAGACATTCATGTCCTACTGCTGCAGAGTTGATTATGTCAACTGAATATTTAAAATTCTACAAAATATGGTCTCCGTAAATTGTCA